TTACGTTTTAAACGTGTCTAATATAAAGGTTTTCTATATAATTGTGAATACGATTCTGTTATGACGTCTGTGTATGAAATCAGTCGACAAAACGATAAATCTTTTCTTAAAGAAAAAGTATATAACATCTGAAAAACCAATTGTTTTAAAAGAAACGTAACAAACATTTAATTTAATTAAAGTAACGAAAGCAGACCTTTTAAGGGAAACAATATTAACTCATAATTGGGTTATAAAAAATATGATAGAAATTGTTATTAAATTATTTTGAAAAATACAAAACTCTTTTATTTAATTAGTATTTATTAATCCGCCAGTGATTTCAAATTTTAACTTTATTATATTTTTCTCGTCAGTAAATGTCTTATATTTGTTGAAAATCCATAATTTTGACCAAATATATTAGCAGTAAAAATATACTAATATTAAAATTGTCTAAAATATCACAATAATTGTTGTCAAGATTAATAGAAAAGTGTGTACTTGTCTTAGAAGGACATAAATGTTTAATATTTATCCACTTTCTGGTGAGTCTTCAAATTCTCAATGTCTGTCCATCTGAACGATAATACAGTATATGTTTTGTTGTAAAAGTAAACCCTTGAAGGCATTATTGTACACATAGTCTGACATTATTGTCATTTAATAATTAAATGGTGTTTATTAACATTTGTCCATTAAATAAAACTAATTGCATTTATTTCTTGACGCAATAATAAACATAAGTAAATAAACTTGATTTAATCCATAAAAGCTCAATATCGTTGAATACATAATATACAATACTATAAAATCATTTTTCAAAAATAACATTTAATTTAAATTAAATGATTTAATTTAAAGCCAATACAATAAGTGACAGTAATTTATCTCAATTTCAAAAAATTCGCTAAATCTTTGAATTCAATAAGACTTATATTAAGTTATATAAGAGTTTGACTGAAAATATTTGAAAATTTAAAATACAGATTGAATGAAACACTTTTCAATAAAGTGGAAACAAATGTCAATCAAAATTTCAATAATTGAGTTCACTTTGGCATCAAATATCAAAGCTGTCGCACTTTCTTATAAATGATTGACATTTTCTACCAATAAATAAACACTAAACTAAGGATTTGGTCAAAATCGGTAAATAATTGCTTAAATTCTTTATTATAGCCTAAGATTGTATTTTTAATGAAAGAATCCAAACATTATATCAACACTAAATACTTATTAATGATTACATTATGAGCTTTTAATATAAATGTTGTACAAAGAAGTCTATTTGTAAAATGAAATTTGTATCCAATTTAATATTTATCGTTTAATATTAATAAACCATTTAGTTTTAAAACAAATTAAAAAAAATATAGTTTTATAAAATGTAACTAAAATAGACTCAAATAATAAAACATTAAATTTTGAGTTTATTAAAGTAATATTTATAGTTATAAACAATATTTAAATAATAAATATTTGTGCAAAAACAAAGATTTGTGAAACTTATTTGTAAATTCAATACGAGTTTGAAATTTATAAATGGATGTGGAGTTTGGTCTGAATTTAGCGGCGCTTCACTCCTTCTCTATAACATCGCAAAACAGTTTAATTTATGAATAAAACATACCGTGAATTGAGTCACACTTTAAGTTTCATAACGTTTCTCACATATTGTGTTGCGAATAGACCTAAGAATCTCATACCGAATAAATCATAAAATTGGTTTCTCTTTTTAACCTCGTTTTAATAATGATTCTCAAAGAAATGATAGTATATTTTATACAGGTTATTAAATTCTGTGCTTCAAGTTGTTATTTTTAAATGATATAAGAATTGAACAATTGTTGGTAATTAACAATTCATATATTCATTGCGTGAATGGTTGTTATTTACATGTATATACTATAATTCAGTTAAGCCAATTAAATAATGGCTATTAAACAGTGGTTATCATTAAAAATTTGCGTAATCTTATTATGTAACGAAGATATCCCACAATTTATATTAAATGCATTATAGATACGAAAGGTACTAATTTTGTAAATCCGTTTTATTAGGTTATTTGACAACCTATTATACTAACAAAGAATGGTTACCTTTTTAAATGACTACCGTAGATCTTAATAAAATGCCACTTATTGTGTAGTTTATGCCTAATAAAAAATATAACTTTAATATCTCGGGCTGATATCCCTCACATAGGAATACATTATATTGACAAATACAGTATACTTTAAAATATTCCATTCCATGTACGCCAAAACGAGTTATCCAAATCTAATTAAACTTGGTTTCTGGTGCCTAAAAATGTAAACTTAAATAATGAAACCTCTTGCATAATTCTAACTCGTAAGTACACTAGAAATAACATAGTGTAATAGGTTTTAAATGACCTAATATTTATTGTTTAAAAAGGTTTATGTTTTACTATTAATATTTATTATATTTAATGAAATAATAATGAATTTCTATGAGTTGTTAAAGAAGTCATAATTTCAACATTAAATAAATTGAAGCGTCGACTGAGAAAAGCAGTCATTTGTCCAAAACGTTATACACGCCGTACGTGACGAGTGAGCCAACGATAACGCCCGCCGCCAACAAATACTTATTAAACTTATTGGCGAATTGTTTCTCCATTTCAAGCGATTCCTTATCATATTTGATGGCATTTTCATTCAATAGGAGAACTGTTTCGTCCAATTCTTTGATGTTATCTTTTCTCTTCTCAATCAATGGTATATTCTTATTGACTAATTGTTCGTTAATATCCTTCGCTTTTTTAGTTAAGTCTTTAACCATTTTATCAAATATTTATAGCAATAAAACTTTTCAGATATTATATAAGTGTAAATGTATTGACAGTGATATGCGAGTCGTTATGAAATGGCTGTAAAGTAACTCAGAGATAACGTTCAACGACTAAAAGTATGCATTTATTTAAATATAAATTATTTGAAATTAAAACCAATTCATTGAATATTCATTTCAATAAATTAAATAACGATTGGTTTACAAATAATAAAGTTTTATTTTAAATTAAATTTATTGTAAACGCGTGCGAAATAAACTTGTTATGCATTTAATGTTGACATTTATTGAACATGTTTGAACTTTTTATGTCTTATTAAACTAATTATTTTGATTTAATTATAATAATATGCACTAAATTTGCGATAATTATGACCACAATTACAAATAAAATGCATTTAAAGCGCAACAGAATATTCTGTGACCAAAAACACGGAATCAAATAGAAAAGTAGAATTTGTGTGCAATTAATAGAAAACCCCTGTTTTTGGCATTGAATTCAAGGCTAGGGCTGAGAGAATCAAACACTGGCTCTAAATAACAGTGAATTTGATTGAAAACAAGTAATCATTTGATTTGATTCGTCGATTGCATTGATTGCCTATTGAGTGAAAACAAGAGACTCTCTGATAGACAGCCAGACATCAGACATGTATTGGCGTTCAGTTCAGCGCTGTTTGACTCACACGACGTGTCGCTCACCAGTTGTCACACAAACCACAAAACAACTCATCGCTCGAGTCATGTCTTCGTCCACGTCTTCGGGTGAAGAGTTCCGCAAAGAGTCGGACACAATGGGAGAAGTGTTGGTTCCGGCGGACCGTCTATACGGCGCTCAGACACAGCGGTCGCGAAACAACTTCCGGATCGGCGCCCAAACCGATTGGTCGGCCGAACAGATGCCCAAACCTATCATCACTGCAATGGCTGTACTGAAGAAGGCGTGCGCCCGAGTCAACAGGTCTACCGGCGATCTGGACGGACGACTCGCTCAGGCCATCGAACAGGCGTGCGATGAAGTGATCAACGATGGCCTCGACGTGAATAAGGAGTTCCCGTTAGTGATATGGCAGACGGGAAGCGGCACTCAAACCAATATGAACTGCAACGAAGTGATCGCCAATCGGGCCGCAGAGATATTGGGTTAGTGTGACGGACATCACCACCAGTTGAACACATGCTGTTTGACTGGTGGCTCATATTTTGTTTGTATTGTAAACCACGTGTGGTTTTAATGTGTTGATTATATTCTTCAGGAGGAAAACGTGGCGACCGTTCAGTACATCCCAACGATCACGTGAATAAGAGTCAGTCCTCTAACGACACGTACCCGACGGCTATGCATATCGCGGCCGCCGTTGAGACCAATGCCACACTTTTGCCGGCTTTGGAGAAATTGTTGTCCGCTTTGAGGGCCAAAGAGAAAGAGTTCGCACGACTTATAAAGAATGGCAGAACTCATTTACAAGACGCCACTCCACTCACGTTGGGTCAGGAGTTCTCGGGTTACGCCACTCAAGTGCAGTTCGGCATCGATAGGATCAAAGCGGCGCTCGAACCCCGACTCTACTACCTGGCCATCGGCGGGACGGCTGTCGGCACCGGACTTAATACGAAAGTGGGTTGGGATTCAAATGTGGCCAAACAGGTGTCTGACATCACGCAACTGCACTTCCGTCCGGCGCCCAACAAGTTTGAAGCCCTGGCGGCTCACGACGCCTTTGTGGAGGTGTCGGGCGCTCTCAATGTGTTGGCCTGTAGTCTCAATAAGATAGCGAATGACATCCGACTGTTGGCCAGTGGCCCGCGTTCTGGTATCGGAGAGTTGATGTTGCCTGAGCTCGAGCCCGGCTCCTCCATAATGCCCGGCAAAGTAAACCCCACCCAATGCGAGGCAATGACAATGGTTTGCGCTCAGGTTCAGGGCAATCACGTGGCCGTCACTATCGGCGCAACTCAGGGCCACTTCGAGCTCAATGTGTTTAATTAATGCCGGGCAAAGTAAACCCCACCCAATGCGAGGCCATGACAATGGTTTGCGCTCAGGTTCAGGGCAATCACGTGGCCGTCACTATCGGCGCAACTCAGGGCCACTTCGAGCTCAATGTGTTTAAACCGTTGATCGCATCCAATGTGTTGCGATCCATCCGATTGTTGGCCGACGCGTCCGTCTCCTTCACCGACAACTGCGTGACCGGAATAGTAGCCAATGAGAGACGTATAAAGCAATTAATGGAGGAGTCGCTGATGTTAGTGACGGCTCTGAACCCACACATTGGTTACGATAAATCGGCCAAAATTGCCAAAAAAGCCCATAAAGATGGTCTCACTCTCAAGGAGTCTGCCGTTCAGTTGGGATTCCTTACGTCCGAACAGTTTGACCAATGGGTTCGACCCGAGAATATGATCGGACCCAAGAAATAGACCATTGGTTACAAACAGTGTATATTTGATGACAACTAACGGTATTATAGGAAGAAATATAAACAAATTTAATTATCAAAGAAATCATGAAAATCTTGTGTACAAAATGTTTCAGAAGTTTCTTATTTGGGATTAATTTCAAAATTATTGGAAAATATATTTTAGAATTTATTGAATAATTTTAATTGATTTAAAGTATAGATTAAAAGTGATATTATTATATAAAAACTAGTTTTTTGGCGTTTAGTTTCTGATAAAATGTATCATAAATTAAAATTTAATTT